GTTGTGAAACATCGCCAGTGAGAGTAGAAGGTATTCGTAGGTTACTGGTTTTTGATCATAGGTGTCTTCGAAGCATTGCTCGTATATCGTGGGACAACCGAGTAAGCAATGCTGTTATTAGGAAACGGGTACTAGGTAAGGATGGCAGATCAATAGATGAAGTGCTGAAACTTCATCAGTTGAGGTGGTTGGGACATGTGTTGCGTATGCCCAACCACCGACTGCCTCGTCGAGCTTTGTTTTGTAGTGTAAGAATAGGTTGGAAGAAAGTTAGGGGCGGCCAGACCAAAACATGGCAGAAATCCATGAAGTCATTGACTAGTGGACTGAGTCATGTCGGTAATTGTCGACTACCTGGTTGGGGTCCGCGAGATGATAATAATCGATGGTTAGAGACCTTGAATGACATGGCTCAAAATCGTTCGCAATGGCGCCGGTGCATTTATTCTCTGTGTTCTCTCAAATCCTAATCTTCTGGATTCTTCAACACCTCTAGTTTCGACTCTCTAAACTTTTCTCACTGAATCATATTTCTTGAATAATATCTTCTAATCCTAACCTCTCCAATTACTCCTAATACCTTTACTACCTCTTCTACTATTGGATTTGAATTGATAATTACATCTCTGTGCTGATGTGGTATGGCGACATGAACTGATGTACTTATGTACGAAGTTCTATGTTGCATCTGACTGACTGACTGTTACCACTTTTTCCTTCCTTCCTTACCTACACCTGTTACTTCCAATGGAGCATAAGGTGCTGAATAGCATTCTCTAACTTACTCTTTACGGGGCCTTCCTTTCCAGTTACACCCATTCGCTATTCATTCTTTTCATATCTGCTTCTAATTCTTGGCGAAACGCATTTTTTTGGTGTTCCTCTTTTCCTTTAAGCCCTGTACTACTACTACTACTACTACTACTACTGCTACTACTACTACTCACACTACTACTACTACTACTACTACTACTACTACTACGACTACTACTACTACTACTAATACTACTACTCACACTACTACTACTACTACTACTACTACTACTACTACTACTACTACTCTGGAATTTATCTTAATAGTTTCATCTAGTTGTACTAATGTTGAATCGATATTGAAACCGATGTAGATATATGCCCGGCTCTATATTGTATATGACTGATATATATATATATATATGTTATGATATTCATCCAATATCCTAAGAGAATTATTGGTTAATTCCTACTGGTCAATTTTATGGTCGTCCTAGATATCAATGTCAGGTGGTCCAATGTTGTTTCCTATTGATCGTCTTAACTGTCAATGTCACAGACTTCGATGCTGTTTCCTATTTGACCAAAATGTATAAATACGCATTATCTGCAACGTTTTATGACCACGACCAGGACCAGGAGTAGGACCCGGTCCCGGATCCCAAGTCTGGGATCCTGATTCTCTTCTGGACTCGGACCTCGAACTTTCTGGACGCTTGTAGAATACAGGTTCTACTTCACATCACGTCTTTTTATTTTTACTAGAAATGAGGGTTGGGACAATCGGATTTGAGTAGCGTGTCGTGTCACCGGATACTCACTCCTCGCTCTCGTTTTCTGACTAGGTAACTAGTAATAGTTCAAGTATATCAAGTTGACGTGTTTACGTGTAGGCGTAACAATATATATATATACATATATATATATATATGTATATATATATACATATATATGATTTAAACTAATGAAGTCTGTTTACAGTTTGTAAACTAATTTGTTTTTCACTTGAATTTGTGTTCAAGTGTTAAGGGTTAAATAAACAAATATTACTATTTTCTTGTCATTTGTACTTGAGTTATTTATTTATAATAACTTGGTTGGTTTTTTTATTGAAAGTTTCATAAACATAATAAATAACATAATTCACCTTTGAATTGTTGACAATTCATCAATTCATTGAATGAATTGAAAATTGTATTTTTTTGCAATTAAATTTGAAACAAACAAACAAACATTTTTGTACAGAGTTATAACATAGTTATTGATTACGATCAACTGATCAACACAGTTTGTGTGAATGTGCTTGAAATGCAATACCGAATTCTGTTCAATGTCATGGTGTAAAATTCAATTGAATATTGATCAAATTACTCTCTATTAAAAAACACATGTTTGTCATGATCAGTACATTTTATATAGATTACACTGAGTACTGATCAAAGCTATTCGTGTTTGTTTAACTAATGTGAATGAATGGCGGAAAAAATATTTTTTTCTATGAGTTTTGATATCCTAATGATTCTCGTATTTGTTTAAAAACTTTGAAAATATGTGATAATGGTAGTTAGCTAGTTAGGGTAGACTATAATTTTGTTCAGTCAAGATTTTCCTAAAGTTGAATTCTTGTAAAAACAATTGGACTGTCACAATGTAGATAGTTTCAATAACTGAATATAATTTATAGTCTTTAGTCGTCGCAATTAGATTTCAGCTGAGCAGCACTAGAGATCACGTGCTCACTATTGAATAAATTCAAGAAGAAATTCTGTGAGTCCTAATGAAACGCCACTAGCTTTGGAGCTAAAACATATCGAGTATGAGGCAGTCAGCAACCAGTGGTGTAAAAGATTTGTAACTCAGGTGGATAAGGAGTTAGCTAGCTATCCAAAACAACCGAAGATGGTCACTCAATGTTTTGGATTGATTGAAGTTAGATATTAAGGCCTTTGGATATCAGATCAGTGGTCTAGAGGTTAAGCTTTCTTACATGATACCTAAGGTTCTGGCTTTGATTGTCTCATGCGTGGTGGCAGACGTACACTTCTACTTGGCTTAAGCGGTCGTCCAATGCCTCCCGTTTTTCAATGGTTGACTAATTTAAATAGAATCAGAATTCCGATCAAGCTCTAGAGATCTAGTCAGGGACTATCCAATAGTGTCCGCTCATGATCTCAACATAGATCGAATCCAAGACTTTCAGATTTCACAGTGAATGCCAAAACACTAACATCGCTAGAGCAAGCTTTAACATGTACAATCGGGAGTATAGCAGAAGGATTATCTGTTGGGGACGTTAGATCGCCAGAACTCAACTGACAAAGTTCCTAATTTGGTTTTTATTCATGGGTTGCTCAGTTGACCATGAGATAACATTTCCCATCACGAAAATCCTTGACTCATATTGGTTGATGTATTATGTTAGTACGCTATTTTTGTGGCTCTCCCAAGGACGTTTCTGTGATTATGTATACATAAACTGGATTTGTGTGCTTGTCAACCTCATGTGATCTAGGTGCTTGTACAATACATTTTCTACGCCATATCAAGACTTCTTGCTATAGTTAGCAGGACCGGGGATAATCAGAAGCAGAATAGCCTATCGTGTACCTGTATCATTGCTTCGCTCAGTTTTACCGACTAAAGTGAACTCGTAATAGTTTCAAGCATATCATTGGACTAGCGTATCATTATCCAATGCCCTAAGTGATTAATACCTCACTTTTGACATGAATGAACTCCACTGTTTATGATATTCTATTGGAACTTTAAGAATAACTTGACGTAAGTCACAGCTACTCTGAATTGTATGGTTAATTTGAAGTGGTTTTGTGTAAAATGCTTCTAGTCAGTGACTGTATTAATCACAAGAATACAGTTTATTCGAAATAGTTAGGAGATCCAAATGAGACCTATGAATGTTGGACAATTGTTTTAGCATAGATTAATATCTCTTATAAGTTTACATCAACAAACTCGTCAAGAATTCCACCATCTTCCTAGCTGTTCAGTCAAAACGAAATACCTAAGATTCTCCAAGTTATTAAACGAGGTAGTAGTAGTTTTGTGGTTTTATTTTTTAAAATGCTTTTTTCAGCACATATAAAATTATGATGAAAATGCTGTTCAAACTGAGCAAGTCATTTTTTTTAAAAAAAAATGAAACATCTGTTTATGCTTTCTGACGTGTTTACTCCGTCATGTCTGTTAAATTCTTTTTATTTAACGTCTGATGTGATTACTTGAGTTATTACATTTTTTTTGAATGTCTGATTATTACTAAATAAAAAGTTTTATTTTAAAAGAATAGAATTATTTTAATTTCAAATGGTTACTTGAAATTTGATAAGGAAATTTTAAATTGTACGTAATTGGGAAGGCTATTCAAGTTGCTGAATAAATGGAAAGATACAATGTAGAGGAAACTATCATGGAGGACAACTGGGAAGGGATCTAAGAAGCACTAACTTCAGCATGTCATGTCACCACAAGGAATGGATCTCTGTCGATGCTCTGGATAACATTCGAGAAAGCAGGAACAAGAAGACAAAGCAGATAATGTCAAGGAACAGATCGAATACACAGAATTAAATAAATAAGTAGAGAGGAGTATGAGAGCTAATAAGCGGAAACATATGGAAGACCTAGCAGTGGATGAGAAAAAAGCTACCAGAGGAGGAAACATGAGACAGTGAAGGGACCAGTAGGAAAATATAATAATTCAAAACAACCGGAAAAGAACAAGGGAGAAAACCAATCTCGGACGTCTAAGAACAGTGAAAGAGGTTAGAAGAACACGTAAAAGAACTCTTGAGTAGGCCATCCCCATTGAGCTCACCCAAAATTGAAGTAATACCTCCAGCCTTTCTAATCGATACTGACTCACCAACAATTCATGAGATCAGCATGGCCATTAGATAGATCAATAATGGTAAAGCGACAGGACCAGCCAACAGTTTGGCTGAGGCATTGGAAGCAAACATGTCAGTAAATGCAAAGATATTCCGTATTCTGTTCAGGAATATTTAAGAGGAAGGACACCTGATAAAGATACAAAAGAAAGGTGATCTCAGCAAGTGTGAGAACTATAGGGGCATCACTTTTCTCTCAATACCAGGAAACGTCTTTAACAGGGTGCTGCTAAACAGAATGAAGAACTGCGTAGACGCCCAACCTCGAGATTCCATGAGGATAGATTGTTTACTAACCAAATCGCAACACTACGGATCATTGTGTAACAATCCGTTGAATGAAATTCACTACCATACATCAACTTCATTAACTGCTAGAAAGAATTTAACAGTGTGATCAGAATGACCAATATAAAGGCTTCTTCGACACTACGGCGTGCCTGAGATAAGATAATCAGCATCATACGAAATGCTTATGATGGATTGATATTCTATTCTTATCTGGTTTCACGGATGTACATGAACTCAAGCTTACAAGTACTTGTAAGCTTAACTTACGTGATAGTTTTTTTCTTAAATCTTAATTTCGTAGATTTTGATATTTTCCCCCACTTTTTTTCACAAACACAGACACCATTTTGTATATTTGTTTGCTGAAGAGGCGAAGAAAGCTATTATAGCACCTCACATAGATTTGAGTTTATTTACATTTTACTTAATTAAATCATTTTATTAACTTATTTCACAGTGTCATTCATATAGCATCTAATAAATCTGATATTTAAAAACAGGTGGGAAGTTAAAGTTAAACTTGTTGGAGCATTTCATTTCGCTGGGCGGTTGTCACAGCTGATGTTCGCGGCGGATACACACACATCTAGTAATGTTGACTGACCAATTTTTGCAACATGGAAATTTCACAGTATTACTACTCCTTTCATATCTGTTGGACAAATCACAAGTTAACTGAAGTCATTAGTTTAGTGTGGTAAGGTGAAAGGTACTGAGTTCAGGTCTCAATGTGAATATCAGCATTAAGATTGGACGCATACTGGTTCTGTAGTGAAGGAGAACACAGGTGAGAGCAACCGAATTGTATTTATAGCAAATTACAGAGTTACTCAGTAAAATAGGAAAACCATATTGTAAACGGTTAATTTGCAAATCTTCAATCCATCATCAATCCATTGTCTGACATTTCACTCACTATTCATGCGTTTCATACAAATTCCATTGTGTTCCCACTCTTCTTCCTTTCTTGATCTTCCCCCATCTTCTGCTGCCAGACATTACGTTTTCACTCGCGTCATATACTACTAATAAGTAGCGCGTACCACAGTTCTATTGACTACAGAGCTATTTTATTAAGTACTTTTTTATCCAAATGTACAGAGTAGGCGATTATTTAGTACAAAGTGAAAATAAAAGTATTTCAGTAAGTTCAATATATTTCTATAGTTTATTTC